GAAAATAAAATCACCCAAAATTGGAGCCAAAATAAAACACCCAACTGGGGTACGTGGGCAAACATACGAACGATTTCAAACTCAGTTAACAAATAAATGTATCAATCACCCAGGGCTCTTCAACACCGAACCGATCGAGGCATACAAACACTGGACCAAGGCTTATACCCCAAACAATCGAACAAACTACGATATAAAATACTAATGTCGACAAAATAAAAAATAAAAAAAGGTCTTACTGTTTTCTTTACCATTTCTGCATAGATCGGTCGCTACTTGATCGCCGGGGGTTGGAGAATGTCGGTTCTCCTGAAGATGGAAGAGGTAGGGTTTAAAATCGGGGTGAGCAGAGTTATGGGAGATTTTCCAGCCTCAACCCCTGTTAAATTATAGGTAACGTTCTGTTTTTGCCATTTTTTTAATTCGAAAAAAAAAAAGGCACGCAATATTTAACTAGAAGTATAAAGTTATAATGGGGTAGAGCATGAAGTAAGGAAGTATTGATTAATCTATTTCGAGTACCTGTAGTGTATATAATGGTAATTGAGAGAATATACAAATTGGGGAGCTATAATAAACTTGATTCATAAAGTAGGACTACAGTCTAATTAATTATTAATATGAACTGAATTACAAGTGGAGTTCACTTACATGGATTTTCGCCCAACTCTCCTTTGTTTATAAGTTTTAGTATGCTGGTTTAATTTTATATTCAGTATATATGTTTAATCTTACTGTTTTTGGAGTAATGATGGCCCAAATTGGAGTATGCTTTATCGAACGATCAAGATTCATCCTCGAAATATGAGTGGGCTAAAGTATATTGTGGGCTACGCATTTGGTTGTATCAAGTGCGGGATTGGTTATTGGATTGCGAAATTTTCGATCTTAGTAATTTTCATTGACCAAAAAATGGTAAAATCCAAAAAATCTTTTATTCTCCTATATTTATTGTATAACAAATTACATGCAAACTAAAACACAATCAAAAAGATAAAATAAAAGGAACAACATAAATTTAGATAAAAATAGTATATAAATACAATAAAAGAATTTATATCTATAACAGAAGGGGAAACTGGAGGGATGAAAACTAGAATTGAAGAATCAAAAGGAGCACGGGTTCACAAAAATGCTAGTCTTCCAAAATTAATAAATAGTGCGTCAATCATATGGTCTTATTAATTGTATAATAATTTATGACAATTATATGATCGAACAATCAACTAACAAGTGTTGAAAGTGAAAAGGAGTTTCGATTTAGAAAACCATTCAATATTTGAAATTATTTTCTTTAAATGCAATGCAGTTACTTGAGGTGCTACCTAAATAGTTGCTGCACTGGAAATGTAGACCAACAAATTTTAGTATTCAAATGAAGATAAATTAAGTTGAAAAGTTGTCTTTAGAAAAAGGCAGTAATATTTTATGAAAATCTAGCTGGAATTGAACGGCTATAGAATTTTCAAGTTTTATTTGTAAACTCTGCCCCAAGGTTTCCTGAATTCAGTTATAACTTTTACTTTTGCCAGTAGTCAACCAAAAATGCTAAGAAACTCAATTTGAAATTACATAATATTTTGAGTTATTAAATTTTTTGTGATTGGGTTTGGATTACCCTCTTAAGAAAAATGCATCATATATCAGCAACACCGGCTTCAAGTTATTAAACTCGCGAATCGAAATCGCAGGCTTTTAAGACAAAAGAATCACTTTGGATACAACAATCTCTGAGCGAGAACTTGGTTATGACGCCCTCATGAACAGACAAAATTTGATCGTCCACCGTTTCCACAGTGTTTCCATTCATGGATCTTTGCAAAGGCATGAACACAAGAATTTTGTTTACGACATCGCAGGGAAGATCGCTGATCCTATCTACAGCACAATCCATCTGCATCATGGTAACTTTTATGTACAAATCGTTCAGTTTCAAATGATGATCCTGTAAATAGTTAAATCTACAAATCAAAACATTGAAGATTGGATTATGCGTTACAAATAGAACTTCTATAAAAAATATTGCACCTGTGGGTTTGTATCTTCCAATTTCTAAGAGCGTTTTTCTTTTTTTACTATTTGTTGTTCGTGTTAAGATAGGAGTTGATTGTGAATTTTTAAGAGAGTAAATAATGTGTATTTAAAGAGAATTGTAATCATTGCATAGTAAAGACAAAAATAATAAAACTAATAATAATAATCAAGGTAAACGGTACTATTAAACAATGAATATGATTCAACAATCCCGAATTCGTATTTAATCTCATATGTTTGCTTTAATTTCATAGCTTTTATTCACAATGAAAAACCTCTAATGGCAGCACCAACGTAGATAAATTGATTGAGTAAATAAATATTGTGTTTTGTGTTGTTTTTGTTATAAATTTTACAACCATATCTCCATCTGATGTTCCGCGATTTGGTTGTTGGGCGAGTAGTTGGGATTAAATCTTTCGAAAAGTTTTTATTATTTTTTTCTTGATTGATAATTGTTTATACACCTTTACAAGAGCTAGCGAATATGAAAAAAGAAAATGTCCCTGTACAAAGCCCATTTTGCCTATATTAAACATATAAAATAATCTCATTTAAATCATTGAAGAATCTTTGTGCAACTAGCATCACTTATCCCAACATAAAATAAATTAGGTGTGTAATCTTTATGGATTCGGAGAAAAGTACAACCTGTAAATTTGTGGTAGTGTTGTGAAAGAGGAAAGTGACTATCTAAAGCTGGTGTTTTATGTACTTCAATAAATGATGTTTTGGTGCCAACAAAAAATATTTCTTTAATTTTCATGAATTGATTCAATTTATAAATTCACACAAGAACACAAAAGAAAATTTTTAATTGAACCATAATTGCATTCCTCACTTGTGTTAGAATGATTTTTCATTTTTTGTATTCCTGGTTTATGTTTTAATTTGCTTTTATTAGTTTATACTCCCTGAAAAGTTACTAATATCGAATTATTCCACTTTACACTAGTATCGCTATCCGATGCATGACTTAAAATTGAATGGATGCAAAATATATATATATATATATATCAAGAAACAAAAAAAAAATATATATATAACTCCATTAGCACAAATCATAAAAAAAATTAATAAAACAACAGAAAAGATGAAGAGAATCAGAAATGCAGCTTAATACAAAGATCCACAACAAAAGAATGATTCATGGCCAAAGTCAAAATTTTACACTAAACTTTTTATCTATGTAATATTTAGCTTTGGAAGATGACTCACAATAGAACAACTCCAACTCTTTTTTTGCCCAGTCCAATTCACCCTCATCTAAAGTGAAAGTTCTATCCCACACAATAGAAGAAGCTTCACAAATTTCACTTCAGTTTGAGCATCCGCAAACAATTTCATCTTCACAATTTTGAGGTTGTTGTAAGGAATATTTTGCTTCTGTATGCCTTTCAGATACTTGGCAACTTTCTGTGTCTAGTCAGCGCTAATTGAATCACTAACATGACTCTAACCGTTCTCCACAACTCCTGGGCTGCCAACCTTCAAACTGGTATATACATAGATACATACATACGTACATACATATGACAAGTGTGAGAATGAAACTATGAAAGAACACAAACCAAAAACCGAAAAAAAACAAAATATACTCGTGAAGAATACCTACATTAATGTCATTCTGTACAACTTAGGGGAGCTTCTAATCAAGGAAACAACACAATTGACATTGTCCATGATTCGAAAATTCACATTTCTTAGTTCAATAGTCTTCAAATCATTGAGCTTGCTAGGAAGTTCTTGCGGCACGCCACCCAAAGCCAGGAACTTCAATGAAAATACATAAGGTGAACTCCACATTATTTGCACCTTAAAAATTAACACAATGAATGAATTCAAAACAATTAAAGTATGCACTAATTGTACCTGCAGAAACGAGATTCCAACTTCTAGTTTTACAAGAGATTGAAGTTCACCAAAAAATTTGATCATGCTACTCCCATCTCCAGTTGCCTGAGAAGATCTAAAATTTTCATAACTGGATATTCGACAGAAACCTCCTGAACAAAAGCGTGTTTTTTGCACATAAATTCAACTGAACAAGCCCTTTAAATTCAAGACCCGGAGATTAGGAGCAGCAAGGTTGAGGGGCCAAAATCCATTTCGGTCATTGCAGTTATGAACCGTCAATGATTGAAGAACTGAACATTTTGATATGAATAGTTGTAACTCTTTAGGATCAACGAAAAGTTCTTAAAGACAAACACTAGAACGTCTTCTAAAACCATGGAATGTGGGAGGAACCTTGATGTCGGTATGGTTAAGATGCAAGTTCCTAAGATTCGGAGTATCAATATCGAGGCACCAAACCGTGGTTGGTGAAAAACATGAGCTAATCGACGAATGCTCAAACATTGGACATTTTGAAATAATACTTTCTAACCCTTCAAGAGTAATCGAAACATTCTCAAGTTCAAGTTGGATACGTATTCCTACTCTTTTGTTTCAATAACATGAGCCCTCGGATTTTATTTTAGAAGCAAAAATCTATGTTGCCTTGAAAGACTGTTTGCACCGAGGTGACACGGCTCAGCCGCGTATAATTATAACCAACATAATTTTCTTACCCACAAAGTTCAATAGAACAAATGGATTAAAAATATGTATAAAAGAAAAGAGAAGGAAGAAGAAAGATAGTGCAGAGAATGTGAATTAGTATAGATGATAACCAACCACGAGAATAAGTCTCGGACCTGAAATCAATCCACAGGTAAAACACAAACAATAGGCTAAATCCCACTGCAAAGGATTGGAAGCCACGAACCGATGGAATCACTCCAAAGACCCGATTTGAGATTCTAAATGCAAGGAAATCACTCCCTAACACTAGAAAATATAAAAGTGAAATTCAATTCAAGATGTAAAAAAAGGTTCGCATTACAATGATAGACAAGGACCTTATATAGAGGTCCTTGAGGAAAATAAAAGGCAACAAATAATAAAGGAAACAAACCAAAAGGTAAGTCTAACAATAAGGAAATAAATAATTAGGGAAGTTTTAGATATGGAATTATACTATATGGAAACTTATAATAAAAGGAAATAAGTGATGATTCCCTTGATATACTTCCATGATTAGTGATTCTCTCCATAAGTGATGATTCCCTTGATATACTTCCATGATTAGTGATTCTCTCCATAAGTGAGGATTCCCTTGATATACTTCCATGATTAGTGATTCTCTCCATAAGTGATGATTCCCTTGATAATCTTCCATGATTAGCGATTCTCTTGATCTTTCAATTGGGATTCTTGCGGGTCCCATTGAAGGCGCGTCAGGTGAGGGCTAAGTGGTCTCCAAGCATCATCCTTAAATTGATTCTCCATGAAAAAACGTATGATCAATGTAGTGACGGATTTTTGAAACTGACGAGCTCGGCTTCGAGTGATGGGTCCCACGGGCATTTGAATGCTTAAAGATTTGACGTCCTCGTCATTCCCTCCTTCTTGAAAAGCTTTCTTGTTCTCCCGAAAATCCACTACATCAAAAGGGCTTAAGTCAGAAACATTAAAAGTAGCCTGAACTTGGTACTCACCTGGGAGTTCAAGTTTTTAAGCATTATCATTAATGTGTTCCAACACTCGAAAAGGCCCATCGCCATAGGGAGTAAGTTTTGACTTTCGTAATCCTGAAAATCTTTCCTTCCTTAAGTGTAGCCAAAACCAATCCCCTATCGCGAATACAACTTTCTTGCGCCCACAGTTAGCTTGTTTTGCATAATTGTCAGCTGCCTTTCGTAGGTCATCCCGAACTTTAGAATGAAATTGTTGGACAAATTCAACCCTTTTTTCTGCCATCAAAACAAACGTGCTCATTGCATGGCAATGGCATATAATCAAGAGGAGTTAATGGGTTAAAACCGTAATCAACCTCAAATGGAGAACAATTTGTAGAGCTATGAATCGTACGGTTATATGCAAATTTAGCATGAGCTAAACATTCTTCCCAACTCTTCAAATTCTCATGAACTAAGGCATGTAATAAGCTACCCACAGTTTGATTAACAACTTCTGTTTGACCATCAGTTTGTGGGTGGTGTGATGCGGAAAACATTAATTGTGTACCTAATTTAGCCCAAAGTGTTTTCCAAAAATAACATAAAAATCGAGAATCCCTATCAAATACAATGGATCTTGGAACACCATGCAATCTAAGAACCTCTTTGAAAAATAATGAAGCAACATGTGAAGCATCAGTGGTTTTTGTGTATGGAATAAAATGTGCCATTTTTTAAAAGCGATCAACCACAATAAATATTGAATTTTTAGCAGACCTACTCCAAGGCAAACCTAATATGAAATCCATAGAAATATCAACCCAAGGGGGTTCAAGAATAGGTAGTGGAGTATACAAACCGCGTGGATGAACAATAGACTTCAACGAGAGGCACGTTCTACACCGACGAATTGCACCTTCAGCTTCGGGAGGGCGTACATAATGTTGCCATGTTTGCAGGGCCCGCACTAAGGAATACAATTCCTTATTGTAGGTTGAGTAATTCAACGCAGCGCCATGTAGCTTTTCACTGAAAAATGCAACGGGTCTCTTTTCTTGCGAGAGGACGGCGTTAATACCTACACCAGAGGCATCAAGTTCAAACGGTTTAAAGAAATCATGTAAAGCAAGTACGGGTGCACATGTAAGTTTCGAATTTAAAGTATCAAAAGCATTTTGTTGTTCACTTCCCCACTCAAACTTATCCTCTTTTTTGACGGTAGAAACTTGCAAGGCCATGGAAACTGCGGATATCACGCACGCTAGTAGGTGTAGGCCACTCTTGGATGGCTGCAATATTCGCAGGATCTACACATACTCCATCTTTTCTTACAATAAAACCCAAAAAGTTGCACTTGTCGACACAAAAGCTGCATTTTTTCAAGTTAGCATATAACTTCTCAGCCCGTAAAACATCTAAAACTGCTTGTAAATGTTCAATGTGTTTCAATAGAAGTATTATAAACAAGTATGTCATCAAAGTATACTACCACAAACTTATTTATAAAATTCCTTAAAACATGATTCATCAATCGCATGAATGTGCATGGGGCATTGGTAAGTCCAAATGGCATAACTAACCACTCATATAGACCAAAAGAAGTCTTGAAGGCAGTTTTCCATTCATCACCTTGATTCATCCGAATTTGGTGATAGCCACTTTTTAAATCAATTTTTGAAAAAATTACAGAACCACACAAATTATCAAGCATGTCATCTAATCTAGGAATGGGATGACGATACTTAACTGTTATAGCGTTGACGGCTCGGCAATCCACACACATGCGCCAACCTCCATCTTTTTTTGGCACAAATAGGACAGGTAAAGCACAAGGACTTAGGCTTTCATGAATCCAACCTTTGCTCAGTAGATCCTCGACTTGCCTTTGTTTTTCTTTTACCTCATCCGGGTTGGCTTGATAGGCTGGCCGATTAGGAATTGATGCTCCCGGGACAAAATCAATTTGGTGCTCAATCCCATGAGTGGGTGGTAAACCATGGGGTACTTCATCAGGAAAAACATTATCATACGCCTGCAATAAGTTAGAAAAACTAGATGGAAGTTTGTTAGAGTCATTCATGGAAAAATAAGTAGGTTTAGAAAGTAATAGCAAACAATGAACTCCATGTTCCAAGCGTAAAGCTTCCTTCCTACACATAAAAAAGATTAGACCTCTCACTCTCGTGTTTAATATTCCAGCAGGTTTCACCCTGAATCACAACACTCGTGTTTGATTTTTGAGTAGAAGGGTAGAGTATTTGAGAGTGGCTCGGGCCAGATGTATTTATTGGTGAGGATGAAGATTTGAGAGGTTGTGGGGTAGTTAGGCTATATGAAAGAGTAGATGCAATTGTATCCGGAGTACTTCTTGTTGCGGGTGATTCTAAGGAGGACTTCAAATTGAACTCCGCTTTTCCTTTGTTGATATGTTGTCGAAGCGGTGCTTTAGGTAACCCTACAATTGAAGCAAGTTTAAACAGATTACCTTGCATCCTCTTTGATTTTAGTTGCTTCTCCACCTTTATGGCCAAGTGTACCATCTCCTTGAGGTCCACGTATTGGTACATCTCTACCGCATCAGCAATATCCCTTTGAAGCCCATTCAAAAATCTAGACATCATTTGCTCCTGATCTTCTTGGATATCGGCTTGTAGAAGAAGTGTTTCAAGCTCCTCATAGTACTCCTCCACTGACCGAGACCCTTGTTGTATGCTCTGCAATCTCCGCAATACTTCACGATGGTAATGAGGAGGAACAAACCTCTTTCGCATGAGTGTACGAAGTTCTGTCCAAGTACGCACTAGAGCCTCCCTATTTCTGCGGCGGTTGATGCTCAATTGGTCCCACCATGCAAGGGCATAATCTGAAAACTCCATTACAGCCACACGGAGTTTTTGTTGCTCAGTTAATTGTTGAACATCAAAGATTAGGTCTAACCTTCGTTCCCATTGCAAAAATACTTCAGGGTCAGATTTTCCTTGGAACGGTGGCATTTGAAACTTGATCGAGTTGATAGCCTCATCTCCATCCCGTCGGTGATAGTTATTATGATGCCTAGGTCGTTCCCAATTTCCTTCAAACTCCTCATCATCGGGTTCGTCAAATTTGTGTGGGGGTGGGGGCCGGACGTTGCGTCTTGGCCTCAAATGCGGTTGAACATCATTTCGCCTATGAGCTTCCGGTAACGATCGGATATTCTCCTGTAACTTTTTTTGATTCTCTTCCAGTTGATCCATCCTATTATTCATCAATTCCAATCTAGAATAGTGAAGAGTTTTGAACTCTTGTAGCATGGTATTGAGAAGACCTTGTACATCAACTTGTTGAGAATTGGGTCGTACACCCCCTGCCATTAGAAATAGAAGAAAGAAAGAAAGAAAAAAAAAGAAGAAAATAACCTCACTAGAACTCTCGTGTATCACTCCACACCTTATGTACCTCTCCGTCTCGCAAAAAGGATTTAAATCAAATCGATGGAATTCTCCCAAAGACGATAGCCAAAAAATCCAAGACAGTAGGAAAACCAAAAGAAATATAAGTTCAGAATGAAGGTAGAAGACAAATAATCTAAATAGATTTTTTTTTGTTTTTTTAATAAAAGAAAAGATGATTCGAGAACTATAAGTAAATAACAAATATCTTGATTTTTGATAATAATTTTTTTTTCATTTTTTTTTTCTCTTTTTTTTTCTTTTTTTTTTGCTCTTTTTTTGACTTGTTTTTTTTTTCCAAATAAGAACCGTGATATCAATCAAGAGATTGTATCAACTAGCTCTGATACCAGATGACACGGCCCGGCCACGTATAATTATAACCAACATAATTTTCTTACCCACAAAGTTCAATAGAACAAATGGATTAAAAATATGTATAAAAGAAAAGAGAAGGAAGAAGAAAGATAGTGCAGAGAATGTGAATTAGTATGGATGATAACCAACCACGAGAATAAGTCTCGGACCTGAAATCAATCCACAGGTAAAACACAAACAATAGGCTAAATCCCACTACAAAGGATTGGAAGCCACGAACCGATGGAATCACTCCAAAGACCCGATTTGAGATTCTAAATGCGAGGAAATTACTCCCTAACACTAGAAAATATAAAAGTGAAATTCAATTCAAGATGTAAAAAAAGGTTCGCATTACAATGATAGACAAGGACCTTAAATAGAGGTCCTTGAGGAAAATAAAAGGCAACAAATAATAAAGGAAACAAACTAAAAGGTAAGTCTAACAATAAGGAAATAATTAATTAGGGAAGTTTTAGATATAGAATTATACTATATGGAAACTTATAATAAAAGGAAATAAGTGATGATTCCCTTGATATACTTCCATGATTAGTGATTCTCTCCATAAGTGAGGATTCCCTTGATATACTTCCATGATTAGTGATTCTCTCCATAAGTGATAATTCCCTTGATAATCTTCCATGATTAGCGATTCTCTTGATCTTTCAATTGGGATTCTTGCGGGTCCCATTGAAGGCGCGTCAGGTGAGGGCTAAGTGGTCTCCAAGCATCATCCTTAAATTAATTCTCCATGAAAAAACGTATGATCAATGTAGTGACGGATTTTTGAAACTGACGAGCTCGGCTTCGAGTGATGGGTCTCACGGGCATTTGAGTGCTTAAAGATTTGACGTCCTCATCACGAGGACACTCTAAGAGTTCATTCAAATACACATTACTGTATTCAGAATATGTCTTGCACCTATTGCAAGAAGTCCAAAATATGCCTTTGCTATTATGACTTCAACCTTGGTACTTGCTATTTAGACCTTTTTTGTCAGGACAAATACAACAGACACACTTAAAAATAGCACACATAATAAGAATAATAATAACAATAATAGTAATAATAATGATAATAACAATAACAATATAATTAAAGCATATATTAACGGAAAATGTGATGTATGACAAACCGGATATTCTTGACAAATAGTAAGATCAATAGTCTACTCTATTAGGAAATAAGAAAGAGCATGAGACCGTTTAAAAAAAGAATTCACAAGCAAAACATTACATTGTTGATCTAAAATCTGAAGTGAATCCACCTTGTTCGAGGACATAACTCTGTTGGACAGGTAACAAATTTAATTCAATTGTTCAATGTTATAGAAGGAAACTTTTGAAGGAAAATTTTTATATATTCCACTAAAAATATGCATTCAACACTGATTTAACTAATTCAAATTAAACAAACAAAAAAATGGGAATCGTTGTTTCAAAATCACACACTAAGCTATCAAGATGATGATATAGTATCAGACACCCAAAACAACCTGAATTGAAAACTACAAACATTAACCCACGAGATTATACCAAATTTAAACAAACATACTATTTAGTTGCCTCATATCCCCTAAAAAATGATTCAAAGACTAATTACAATATAAAACAACAAACGGAATATCACACACGAATCCATAAAAGGCTAAAATTAAATCACCATAATTGAAGAAGGCAAGAAGAGAGACAAGACTGATGTTGAAACAAAATGTCTCCAAAGTTCCACGGCTCAGGAACGGCGAGACAGAGATTGCAGTGGGATAACTGAGAAGAAGAATGGGTGGATTTAGATTGTAGGGAGAAGTGCGCAGCCAAAGAGAGAAAGCAGAGGTGAGTAAATGAATTGTGTCAGACCAAGTGTAGTATCTTTATACTTAGGGTTTTTGGAGTAATGATGGGTCCAAATTGGATTATGCTTGATCAAGCGGCCGAGATTCATCCTCGAAATAGGAGTGGGCCAAAGTATATGGTGGGCTACAAATTTTGTTGCATCAAGTGTGGAATTGGGTATTTGATTGGAAAATTTTGGGTCTCAATATTTAACGTTGACCCAAGAATTCAACAAATACTCCACCTAATTTTTTAGCTCAAAAAAGTCATTAAATAGCATGCATATCATATTCTCTGACTAACAGTGACAATTTTTTACAAAGATTGTGTGGTGAAACATTCAACAATCAAGTACCAATTATGAAAAAGTTTTGATTCAAAGAGTCAATAATACAAAACACTTAAAAAACCAAAAAAAAAAAAAAAAAAGAAAAAAGAAAAATTGAGAAAAGAAAAAAAAAATCTGAAAACCATAAAAACATATATATATATATATATATCAAAACGTCAATAAAAATCTGAAGTAAAGAATCACATGAGATATTGGGGTTCACAAAAACCCTAATATTCCAAAATCATGAAATAACATGCAAGTCATACTCTCTCACTAATAGTGACAATTCTTTACAATGATTGTGCGATGAAACATTCATCAATCAAGTAACAATCCTGAAAAAAAAAATTGATTCAAAAAAGTCAGTAATACATTGGGAATTACCTTTTTGAATGCAATGTAATTAATTGAGGCTCTAGATGAAGAGTTGCTGCATTCCAAAAATAAAACAACAATAGGTTTTAGTACTCAAACGAGGATAATTTATCTGAAAATTATGCCTTCAAATAATCTGATCATTTCTAATTCTATGTTTACTTTTTACCACAACCAAATTCGTGACTAATACCATTATTGGTTATGAAGATTTGGTTGCTGATATTTCTTCGCTAGAAATGTTCAATTTTTGGTCGTGTTTATCGCTATGAATTGTCACTTTTTTGGTAGTTTGCTATTGATTATTATCAACTTGCATTGATTACAACAATCTTTTATAATTACCGTATTGATTGGGTGTAATATTATTCTTATTATTATCATTATTATTCACTACCTTAAAATTGTATTTTGGCTTCGGAATATAGTCTCGGTTTTTGAACTTGATCGGAGACTATTTTTTTTAAGCCTCGGAATTTGTCTCGGAATGGTGCCCAAAGAGTAAAACTCGTATTTGGGGACCATTTGAAAGGCTCGAAAATTTTAGAAGCATTTCAACATAAGAAAATAATATATATAATATGGCTTCGAAAATTTTCATCATTCTCTATAAAATAAAATAATTTATATAATATGGTTTCAGAAATTCCGAGATCATTAAATATAATAAAATATATGTTTAATATGGCTTTGAAAAATCCAAACCAAAAATTTAGTTGATTTAATAATTATTATATTTGTATCTTCACAGTCTCGGAATTCATTCCAAGATAATTTTTAAGGCCAAATTAATTTTTTTTGGCGGTGATTATTATTATTATTCTTTTTAACTGTTCTGTCATTTGCTTTTCCAACTTAAAATATTCATCTTTTGAATAAATAGTTATACATTAAAAAAAATACAAATTATAAGATGAGTTAATTATATATCTTTAACCACTCAACTTAAAGTATATAAATTTTACACAAGTAAAATGTTTCGAAGAGTATACCATGGGACCCGTTAAACATAAATAAAAATATAAACACAGCCACAAATTTTTAAACGTGGAAGAGTTGAGACCTGTGCCATGCGAGCGTGAACATGTAATAAATCATCAATATCTGTTTCACATGTTTAATTCATTCAACTTCAATCAACATATATAAGACAAGAAAATTATATTATATTTCAATGCTTTCGTTGACATGAAATTGATACATTACCCAAGTAGCAGAGATTTATCCACGCATGTTGATTGCATTTGTTAACATGCAATAGGATGAGAGAGAGGTAAATGACCAACTAGCATCAATTTATCTGCGTGAAGCACGAATGTCGATGAGAGTAAGAGCTGCACTTGCAACATCCAGCTTATTCACTTGTACGATGTGCAACTTCAAGATATAATGCTCCGAGAAAATTTTACCAAAATAAAAGCTATTCATCTAAAATATAAAATGGAAAATGAATAGCTGATAATTAATACACGCACATGCATGAAAAGAAAAATAAACAAAAATATGACAAATACAAATGATATCGCACTAAAATTACACTAAAATGTCTCCCCCTTAAGAAATGTGATGTAAGAGGCATTTTGAAGCTATCGACTAATCATGAAAATTACCTTCCCACACAAGGCCGTTCCTGGCTTTCGAAGGGCCCGGGGCGAAATAAAAGTTAGGGGCCCTTAACTATATACATATATATAATATTTTTTAACCTATAATAATATATAAATTAAAAAAAATTATTTTTTCTAGCACAAATTTTAAAAATTGCGTAAGACTCCCTTATATTTTAACAAACGCTATATGAAACTCCTGTCATACAAAAAAAAATATAGATGAAAAGTCATCTTCTCATCACCAAAAAAATATAAAAATAAGTTTAATGGAACGTTTTTTAAAGTGTAAGGGGTTGATGCTATTTTTAAAGTAGATAGAGGATTTACACTGAGTTTTGAAATCATAAAGAGTTGTTGATAATTTTGCCTAATAATAATAATAATAATAATTTTGTCTAATATTTATTATCTTTTTAGTGCAAAAAAAAATAACTTAAACAAAAATAAAAAACGCCTAAATATATATAAATGATTTACTCCGATTTTTTTTTTTCCTATAATATAAATTATTAAACAAAATAATTTTTTTTAGAATTTTTAGATAAAATATCAATAATAGTATTAATATTAACAATCTTAAAACAAAAATGAGGGGCCGATAAATATGTATAAATAATATTTTTTTTTTATCTATAATAAAATATAAATAATTAAATAAAATAAATTTCCTAATATTTTTATATGCAAAATATCAATAATACTATTAATATTAACTTTGTCTAATTCTTTTTAATACATAAAAAAATATTTTTAAATTTTGAAGATACTTGGGTTTGAACTTAACCACAAAGACATGCTTTTGAACTAATACACTAATGTCAAATAATTTTTATATATAAATAATCTATATATAACATTAATAAATAATGGGCCCCAATTTAAATTAGGCCCTGGGCGGTCGCCCGTTTTGCCCGGGCCCAGGGACGGCCCTGTTCCCACGCAAGAATCAATTCAAATACATTAGTAATAGCAAATTACCTATAACTTGCAAGTGTAAATCAATCCGAAGATCAATATATCCCTTTTCTGTTAATGGTGTGCTTTGGAAAACATCCTCCATCTACCACTTAGACCCCGTCTATTACGCAGATAGGATTGAATATACTCATTGCCGCGTTCATCAACCAATTTAATAGGCGTGTTACAAGTTGGAAAACGAGAATTTAATGCACATGTGGTTTTCTGAATTCAATCTTAATTGGAAGCATACTAAAGATAGCATTTCTTAGCTCAAAAAGATTATCAGCCAATAAGCATGCGAGACATATGATGGAAGCATACATTTGGCAAAGTGAGGGCACTTGTATCCCAAGTGATTGAGGATCCGCCATGCCGGCTCCTTACTGAGGATCTAGTATTCAAATCCTCGAATAAGTCTCTAAGTGCATCACTGCTTTGTGGATTTCGTAGCACAATATTTTACATTTAGAATTCAATCAATGGTTTAAATCCTAAATTACAGACTTACCTTGCATTATTGGAATTGTCCATGAAAACCTGTGTAAGAATTTGCCAAAAAAAAGCAGAATAAAATAAGATAGTTTGAATGAATGAATGAATCATCCAAAAACTAAGTAAAAAAATAAAAAATAAAAAATTTTAAGATCTATTTATTACCCAACTTCTAAGGGTGCTGGTTAATCTTTTCTGTGATAAATAAGAAAAGAAACAAAATAGCCCACAACCAATATTCAAAGGTGTGATGCATAGAACTAAGATGACTTTAAATTGTTTGATTTTATGCCCAGTTTACATTAGGATATATATACTTTTTTAATAATACAAAAAATTGAAGTCCCTAATGTAAAATTACATTTAATCTCAATATAACACGCCGGTAGAAAATTCATATTCTACAATTTCAATCTTCAATCTCTCTTTGAAACCAATTCGTACTATTGTCTTTGTGCTTGCCTGAACCTATTGTATTAAACGCCATTGAGCCAATCTATGTCCCTAATGTTAAATATATTGTTATGGCAATTCAAATCTGAAGACTTGTTTAGAAGCCAATTCATGATGCTCCAACCAAACTATAGATAAATATATTCTCTGATAATAACTTTTCTATTTAGAATCGTTCAACAAAGAAAACCATAGAACAGAGCTGCTGTGATCGTGGGTTGTATGTCTTGGACCGTGGCACAAAAGCTCTTCTTGTTGTTGTTACTGGCAATGCTCAACAACTAGTTTTGAACTTTGGTATCTTTGTTTGGGACATGTCCTGTTTCCAATTATTTCGATACCAAATAAATTGGGCCACTTGTTGGTCACTTCTTTACTGCATCTCCTCGCATTAGCTCTTCATGTCAGTTGGTTAAAGTAAAACAATCAGTTTTACTATAAACAACAAACGTGTTGCCACTGTGTTAAAATTGATTCATTGTGACTTATGGGGACCTGCAACGATTACCTCTATTAATGGATTTCGGTATTATGTTAGTTTTGTCGATGACTTCTCACATTTTACATGGCTCTACCCTCAACATGCCAAGTCAGATTTCTATGATATATGATCAAATTTCACATGTTTGCGTGCACTCAGTTTTTTGCCAATATGAAACAATTGCAGAGTGATTGGGGTTCCGAGTTTGTCAACTCTCGGGTTCGTGCCTTCTTTGAATCCAAAGGTATCCATCACCATCATTCGTATCCTTATACTCCGCAGCAAAATGGGCGCACTGAG